GGGGGCGGGATCGGGAGTTCGAGACCGACGCTCGTCGCATTGCTTATGTGTGTCCTTAGACACAAATAAGAAGATATTTTACCTACGTTTGCCTCTCTCCATTCACGAGTAGGCCTACAAGTGGGTACCTGGTAGGTTTGCACACAACTGGGCAGATTGCAAGCTGCAATATTAGAATTCTCCCCAGGGAGTTGACTATATGTTCCATACGTGTTTGATCCAATGACCGGGGACGGTAATAATATAAAACCAACATAATAATAATAATAATAGTAATAATAATAATAGTAATAATAATAGTAATAATAATAATAATAATAATAATAATAATAATAATAATAATAATAATAAAAATAATAATAGGCCTAATAATAATAATATTATTATTATTATTATAAATATATTATACAATACATATATATATATAATAATATATATAGGTCTATATATTACGTATTTATATAATATATACATAAATAACGGCGCGATGAAATTATATTTGTTCATAATCAAGCCTCATCTAGGTCTTCATGGTAATTTAGGTTTTTTTTAATATTATTATTATTGCTGTATGTTAGTCGATGTACCGTACAAATCGCAGCCATGCTAAAGGATATTTTCTGGCCGGACGAAGCATGTTGTGGTGGCCTGTAGGAGCCTCCTTGTTTGCAAGTAACATTGGAACAGGACACTTCATAGGCCTGGCTGGTACTGGTGCTGCGTCAGGAATTGCTGTTGGGGCTTACGAGATTATGGTAAGACAAAGATTCAACTGTAGACATAAGAACAATAATATTTGTTAAAATGTGAAAAACTGTAAAAAATACAACAAAATAATTGTCACTATTTTATGTTTTAAAGCATTGGTACATGTATTGTAGTTAGAACTTTAACAGTGTTTTAATCTTTATTTTTACATTTTTGTCTAACAGTAACTGACCACACTAGGAAGTCTTTAAACTGTGAAGCATTATTATGCACTGAACTGTAATTTTTTATCTTAAAAAGCAGAATGTTTTCAGGACCGGGACCCTGATTGGAAAGCATACACTTTAACAACCAATCCATTAACATATAATTATGCATTGTTACCGCAATAACTTTTTTTAACCCTTGATACTTTTTTCTTCAGTCAATATTTGCTCTGATTCCTCTTGGTTGGATATTCGTGCCAGTTTACGTCTCAGCCGGTGTTTACACAATGCCAGAGTATCTGAAGAAGCGCTATGGGGGAAAACGACTGCGGATATTTATGTCAATATTGGCCCTCTTTCTATACATATTTACAAAAATATCGGTAAGGTTTCCATCAAACATAACCAGTGGATTTGTGATATCAGGGATATATACATATTTATCAAGAGAAAAACAGACGATGATTGACAATATACAATAAACTTTATAAAAAAAAAACACACACCACACAATATACAATACAGAGCTAAGTGACGTTTATGAGTAATATCCGTGGTTAATGGGATTAACGTGTTGTCATAGGTATGTAATAGCACCTCCCTAGTGATATGAAAGGCCTCCCACCAAACACATTATAAGTGAATTATTGTAATGATTGTAAAACTTTAAAATATGTAGATTGTTAGAAATTTATGATTCTATTATTTGTATGTTATGAAAACTAGCGGATCGGCCGTAATTAGATACGGTATCGTACATGATAAAGATTTTTTCGTTTTACGCTATTAACATATTTTTTTTAAACTGTTTTTACCTTTTTTACTAATTTTAAATAATTCTATGGCTTTTTTTTTTTTTAAAGAAATGTACTTTTTTCACTTGTTTTATCTTCTCGAACTTGTTGAAAACGATCCCTTTGTAATTTTAACTGTTACATGAACGAACAAGTCCTTTGTGAATTTTATTCTGTGTGTATATATTTTGTATAATTATATCATGCTGTAAATTTTGCATTTTCGAGATTAAATAAAGTTTTGAATGAATGTGCGTATTCGACTAGTCGTTCTTCGTTAAACCACGCCCACCTGTGCAGCGGTAAAATCCTACTTAACGAAGACTACCAGTCGAATAGAAAACTTGTATACTCGACAAAACAAAATGACTGCATGTGTAATCAAGATTGCTTCAGCTTGTGGCAGTATGGGTTTTTAGTAAAACAAATATTTTCACCCCGTTTTTTAATTCTGTTGGCCTACAATTATTTTTTTACATGTGGGTAAATATTATATTTTTTATTTTCTGAAATTCAATCTAAATTATATTAACACAAATGTTGTTTCTCAACTCACCAATCGGCCATGTTTGTTTTGGTCACGTGAATAACTTAACGCTGATTAACGCACTCTGGTTTACGTTATTTGTCGTCAACGAATTCTATTTACGATCCAGTCGAATGAAAATAATACTCAACGATAATTCGTAGTCAACGAAATGAACCAGTCGAATACGCCCATTGAATGAATAAGACGTCACATTATCTTATAGACTACAATTTTAGTGGTGTATATAAATTAATTGAAAAGCTTCATCAGTTTTCATTTGGTATTTGATTTAAAATTCATTTTATATAAAACCGAAATTGCTTAATTTTTTAACGTAAATAGTTTCGCTGACTACCAGTCAGCATCATCAGTACGAATGTGGCTTGGTTGGTTACCGTACTACTTTCTTCAGTAATAAAGAAGTATATAAATTATTGTTAATTTTATCGATACTTTTTAGTTATATAGTCCTAACTGTGTTTTTTAAATCTTTGTTATGTAGCCCACGTACCTAAAGTTTTCAAAATATTGCATTATCCTTGGCGGTGGGCTATAGGAAGCAGTGTGAGGTGTTTAGAGACAAATTTCGCGAATAAAATTGGCTTATTAATAATTTTGTATATCCACAGGTCGATATATTTGCTGGAGCCATCTTCATTCAAGAAGCGTTTCCTCAATGGAATATATATACGTCCATTGGTGTACTTCTCGCCATTACTTCCATTTATGCTATAACAGGTAAACAGTTACGAGACAAGCAAAGGTACTTGTTAGGAATAATGTTAGTGCATGTTACAGGCATTCCGGCACGTGTTTACGAAAATGATTACCTATGTATGGGTCGTTATCTAACTGGGCAATGGGTATATTTGGGTCAATAAACTTTAGCTAGAATCAGGGATGGATGGGGGGGGGGGGGGGGGGGGGGCAGGGCCGGCCCTTTTGGAAAGTCAAAACAAAAAAACAAAACAAAAAAAATTATCCATCGGCCAAAACGCCGCCCGGCGTTATTTCCGGGCGTCTAGGGTAGTGTTGTCTCGATGGGCCCCCTTTCGGAATCTCTGGATCCGCCTCTGATAATAAATGTGTCTTTTTATGGATATGTTATCATTTTTGTCCTCAAAACACTTGTCATCATTGTTGTAGTGATTGGTAAGTTTGGTTCAAACAGAACAATTTAAACGCGTTGACGCAGAACGCAATTGTTTGGCGTTTGCGTCAACAGTCTAATAAACGCTCTCGTAGTTTTTTAACATTAGAGCCAAGCAACTGAACACGCCTCTTGCACCTATAATCCTTGCCAATGTTAACTGTCATCCAAATACGTTTATTAATCTTTTAGGTGGTTTGGCTGCTGTTATTTACACGGATACACTTCAGTCTTTCATCATGGTAATTGGTGGCCTTGTTCTGATGGCTCTTAGTACGTATCTTTATCATGTTTTTATCTGTGTGTCACTACGAATTTTGCTCGCTTCAATGATCTATTCAAAATGTTGATATATATATATTTTATGTACATCTGTAATGTATGACTATGGTACATTTCACTTAGGCCTATTTAGACATGGTTGATGTGAAGTATTTGTTTTAATCTGTGTATCACCACGAATTATAACTGATTTGCTTGTCTCAATGATTTATTCAAAAATTTGATATCATTTTTAAGGTATATCTATCGTAGATTTCAGTTATTAGGCCATGGCTGATGTGAAGGCAACATAAAACAACAGCTTAATAACAACCAGTCTAAAGAGCGACATGCATTTATAATATTATAGGCCTATATATACATATTCTAATCAATCTTCGATTCAAACTCTTCCGACGTCTTTTCCTTCATCAACTGTGCCATCCGTTCCGGCAGGATATACCACACCAGATTCTAATAGCATAAGTATTATGTTTAACTCAGTTTTATGGACATAAATATAGTTCTTTATATTGACAGGTTACAAAGAAATCGGTGGGTATAAGGAGCTACAAGTACGATACTACGAAGCAGTATCCAATGCATCTCTCTATAATGACACATTGTTGGAATGCGGTATGCCCCGTGAAGATGCGTTCCATCTGTTACGTCATCCAACTGAATCAGATCAACCGTGGCCCGGTACGATTATTGGTATAATGTTTATCGGTGTTTGGTATTGGTGTACCGATCAGGTATGGCAGTAGCATTCTAGAAAATTTACCCCAAAACAAAAATACAATATGATCTGTTTGAAATGTGTACAAATAACGTGCATATGTGATCTTTGTAGGTGATTGTCCAGCGTGCACTGTCTGCCAAAAACGTCACTCATGCAAAGGCGGGCACTGTTGTTGCCAGTTATCTGAAGATTTTGCCAATGTTTATGATAGTAATTCCGGGAATGATCAGCCGCGTCTTATTTCCAGGTAATTATTTGCTATTAAGGAGAGATTTTGATTAGGGTAAAGTATTTTTTGAAACATTACCGTACGTCCTCCGTGGTTGTCGTTTCCTCCCTTCGCCTGTCCTTTGTCCAATAACACACCGATTACCTATCTGAGAAATGAGCTGATTGTTAAATTGGCATTTTATAATAATCTAGACCTATCATCAGTTGGCTATTGTAGATAATGTTTAATGTATGAATAAAGTTGGTGTTTTTATTTTGGTACAGACGAGGTAGCGTGTGTTGACCCGGATAATTGTGAAGCCGCCTGCGGAAGTCCCGTCAGTTGCTCTAACAGCGCGTACCCTAAACTTGTTCTAGAGATCATGCCTACGGGTGAGTAATATAAGGAACTACAAACAAACAAAATAAAAAAAAACAATTGAATCCTTTGTTCATCCCGCCGAATAATCTGTTCCTCTTAGTCAACAATAGTATTTTAGGTTCATGGAAATTCCCAACAAGGCCATTAAGTCGTCGGGAATGTTGAACCCCCTGGTTCAACGTTGCAGACGAATCGGTGTGCCTTCCCGATTGCATGGGCAGCTAGCAATGTACCCTGATTCGTCTGCAACTGGCAGCGCTAGGGTGAGCGATTAAACCCGAGCTTTACAAAAGCAAAAAAAAAAAAAAAAAAAAAAATGGCAACGGAATATCAATTAATGACCACTGGCTTTAGGTTTACGATTAAAAACATCTTTGAACGTAGGGCCTACACTATGCCTAATTTTATCCATAATAGCAGATATTCTTAATGACGTAGGCCTACATTCGTTATCGTCGATTATAGAGGGGTATCTACAGGTAAACATGAGTGGAGTAGACTGTAGGAGGACGCAAAAAAGTGAGGGGAGCTAGGGGGGAGCCTTTAATATATCGCATTATTTAGAACTACTTGAGTGCAATTTGTTTTCTCAACACAATTTTGGAGGAGTGTGCAAGTTTTTTTTTTCTAGTGTATTCCGCCTTATGACAAATTCCTGTAATATACTCATTGGTCTACTGTAGTGTTTCCTCCATTTTAAAGCTTTGTCCACACTATCAAATTTTATTTTATTTAAAAAATTGTTGTATGCCAATATAAAAAGTTCAAGTTCATTTTATTGGTCATATACATGACTACAATACATGAAATTTGCTTTCTTGGTAAATAATAAAAAACACTAACACTAATATTATAAGATACAAAGCACATATTACACAGAACAACACACACTGAGCATATTAAAATGTAAATAGGGCAAATCTATCGTTTAACATCTTAACTGAACTAGGAATAAGTGAGTCTTCTTCTATTTGTTTTTGTTAATGAGATAACAAAACAAACGATTATCGGATCTATTAAAACTGATGTACCGTAAATGGCCGAATAAGCGCCGCGGCGCATATAACATTTTTGGAGGGTTCAGTTCGAGAGCGGAGCTTATAAAATATATTGGCGTGGCGCTTTCCACGCCCGTTCCTTGTTACTTATCTCACGTGTTCCCGTAGTTCGGTAGGTCTATCATAGGTCCTCGTCATCGTAAATAAACGTTTATAAAGAAATGTCTTCATTTTGTTATTTTTACACTGTACTTATAAAAGCCTGTTTCTCAAAGTGTTCCATTACAGACTATAGCGCCGCGGCGCTTATTCAAGCATTTACAGTAATTTTGAAGTGTGTAGTAGTTATTATATAATAATAGTCATGATTTGCCTATATATGGTCAGGATGTGATGGTACCATGACCATATTTAGGCCTGTCACATGTTTTCGTCAAAATAAAACTTGATAGTCTGGACAGGGCTTTAAATTTCTGTTTGTTCAGACTTGTTGCTGTATCTTTCGCAGGTGCAAGAGGTCTCATGGTGGCAGTGATGATGGCAGCGTTGATGAGCTCTCTAACGTCAATATTCAACAGCGGCAGCACTATCTTCACCATGGATATTTGGAGACGAATTCGACCAAATGCCAACAACACAGAACTTATGGTTACTGGGAGGCAAGAGCAACATGAATTCTTAGCTTAAGATTAAAAAAAAATTATCCGTATTTGTTTAAAACAATAGAAACAAGTTAATTCTTCTTACAGATTGTTCATTGTGTGTATGTTGGTGGTTAGTATTCTTTGGATTCCAATCGTGCAGGCCTACCAAGGCGGTCAGCTATTCGTTTACATCCAATCACTCCAGTCTTACTTTGCTCCACCGATTTTCACTGCCTTCGTATTGGGTGTTCTGTGGCGTCGTATCAACGAAAAAGTACGTAATCTTTTATGTTGTGGAAACATGCCTCTAAGCCGTTTTTCAGTCTAATCATTTATTAGTATTAGCCATTTCTTATTTACAGGGTGCTTTCTGGGGCTTACTTATCGGAATTGCCATGGGTGTGACGAGAATGGTCCTGGATATTGTCTACCCAGCGCCTTTTTGTGGAGAGGGTGACACTCGACCAAAAATTGTCTACCAGATACACTATCTATACTACAACTGTGTTGTTGGAGCCGTGTCCATCGCATCAACGGTTATCATCAGTTTATTGACGAAACCACTACCAGATACATTTGTGAGTTTTCAGCCTATAAAATTGCTGTGAATGTTTAATATAACTAATCTTTAAAATATGAAGCATGTTGTGTCGAGGTGTGCTTGGATATACAGATATATTTCAAAGTGTGTTGAGATGTTTGTCGAGGTGGGGTGTGGCGTTGTGTACAATAGGTTGTGGAGGTGTGCATGGATGTAGGCTACCGTTGGTTGTCAATGTGTTCCTGGATGTACCAAGGTGTGTCAAAGTGTACTGGGACCCGATGTTTCAAGCTCGAGGTATGCCATGATACAAAAAGTGGCGCAAATATGTACTTGGATATGCCGATATTTGACAAGGTATGCCAGGTTGTACCGATGTGTTTTCGAGGTGTGCGAGGATGTACCATTGTTTGCCGGCGTGTGCTGAGATTCAAGATGTGTGGGGATGTACTGTTTGAAAGGTTTATAAATATGTGCCGATGTTTGTGTCAAAATGTGCCTTGATGTACCTGTGTGTGTCGAGGTGTGTCTGAAAATAATGGTGCTTCACGAGTTGTGTCGGGTGTACGATGTAGCGTTTGTTGAGGATATGCCAATGTACGAATATTTATCGAGGTTGCTGGATGTACTGATGTTTCTGGAGATGCCTGTTTGTAATGATGTTTGTCGAATGTTGTCGCATTACAGGCTTTATATGATTTGTGTAACAATTTAAAGTCTTCGCACACTGAATATGTGATATCTTAAGTTTAGGTAGACAGAATAACAGTTTTAGTTCTGGGGTTAAAATAATGAAAAAATATGAATTATAAACAATGTTATGCTAAAAAAAGCGTCATGTTGAACTTTTGTATTCTGATGGATCAAAGTTCATTATAAAATAATGTTATTACACTAATGCTTTTCATGTTAGATAACCGGCATGACATGGGCAACGCGTGGGCAACACGCCAATGATAACTCAAAGAATAATACAGATGAGCTTGAAATGGAAACATCGCCGGACGAAAAAAATGAAGTAGAAACAGAGGGTAAGTTTAATAAAGTTAATGTTTAGGCTATTTGTTCTAAATATACGATGAGAAAACTCTAAGTTTTTATTCTCTTGGTCCCCCTGATCCTCATCATCACTATCATCATCGTCATCGTCATGATCATCATTAATTTGATTTGAAACGTCAATTTCTCTTTTCAATAGATTATTCAAATACCCCAATTTGGAGAAGAACCTTGCGTTGGTTTTGTGGTTTATCGGATACGTCAGAGGACTCTACTCAGAAGGATGACGCGTTGCTTACGTCAATTGACGAAGATCCATTCTGGAGAAAGTTTTCGTTGATAAACGCTGTCATAGTTATGGGTGTTGGTGTTTTTCTGATGGGGTATTATGCGTAGAACACTCATTAGACAATACAGTATATACAGTATTATAAAATAATGTTTTCAGTTCCAGGCCTATAGAAAACCTTTTCTCAAATCATCTCACGTCTCATCTTGTGCATAATTCGTTCAAGCTTGAACGATTAGTGAGATTACTTTTAAAAATTAAAAACAATGCTTGTCTCAGTTATGAGATTGAACCAGGATTTTACCTTTCTGTAAAATCATGTGACATGCCTAAATATGGTCATGATGACATCCCATCATGATCATATATAGGCACATCATGACTATATATGGGCATACATCAGTTTGATAATCTGTCTGGACAGAGCTTGAGGTTGGGTCAGTGCATACACAGTGTCTACAAACTAGCTAGCCGACTGAGCAGAGCTGTTCTAAGTCACTGGATTTACGTTTCTTTGCTCTATGCGTATACCTACTGTAATAGACTTAGATAGATAGTCGTAGTATCATTTAGGTTTTAAACCCCGAATGTATTCAGTAGCACTATTTGTAGCTAGCAGAAGTGTTATAATCAGGCATACTTTATTTTAGTTCTGTAGATTGATTTTATTTTTAGTTGGTTTTGGTTGGTTTAGTTAGTTATACTATCTCATATTAAACATGATTGAACAAGTGACTTACATTGTGTTTTATTACTCTTCTATCTTTTATTGACTGTCATAGTTGCAACTGCTCACGACTATGTCGAAGGTCAAATGTATACACAAACAATCTAATGTATTTCACGACCACAATCTTTGTTACAAACATTCATTCTCTATTCTGTGATAGGCTGAATTATTTGGTTTATATGCCATGATCTTGGATGTAAGCGTGACAGTTAAAAAACTACGAGAGCGTTTATTGGTCCGAAGACTTATGAACCATTTCAAATCCATTTCAAATCGTCGTGGCGTTGCGTTCTCCATAGTATCGCGTTGGGCACAATGAGTACTTGGCATAAGAAGCTATAAGTGGATGGCAAATCAAAACATAAAACATAAATATATATTTTTTAAAACAAACATTTCTTTCTTGATTGAGCTTTTATTAACGTTGTTACTTGATTGTATAAACACTCTGGCCTTTATGTAAATTAAAAATGTTTTAAATAAAATTTATTCTTAATTTCCCACACGTATAAAGTAATTTCATACGATATGGCTCTGGTAAAAGAATAAAACGCTGGAATGTCTTGGTTTTATCATGTGGATACGACAAAATACTGTATTTCAAAAATATATTTTAAAACAAATTAATCATATCAAAACAAAATAAACAAAACAAACGGCAATAATTGGCCCTACTCACTATTTAAGATTTCTATTTCGAATAGAATAAGTGTGCTTTAAAAAAAATGTGCTTAAAATAAAATGCTGTACATGGTTTTGGCTGTTAACTTATGTTTACATTAACTTATAGGTTGTTTTAAATTTTTTTTATCGCTTTCCAGACTCAGTAATCGTCTCCCTCAGTATTTTGCCTCCAAATTTTACTTAATGCGATTCAAAGTGATGTACCAAAATATATTGCAAATGAAGCGCTCGCTTAACAGCGGGTCTCGCACGACGTTTGTTCCTATCGCAAATTATTCCAGTCGTTCACTCTATGACGCGCCCTCTCTATCTCTAGGCCTACTCGTAATGTCTGGCAATTAAAACTAAATTTTTTACAAATTGCCGTGTTCAATATTTATACCAATTATTATAAACTACACTGTAAAAGATACACACTTACAGACGTTATAAGCATGCACTGACCATTCATTTTATAATTTGAGTAAAACATATCTACAATATACTGTAGGCTTACCACATTCGTGTTATGTGTACGAACACATACAGTAATTATGTACACAACTTATTACGTTCAGAGTCATAAAATAGGGGTTTCAAATTTGCAAACACCTGAACTGAAAGTCAATATAACGATTGTATACCAGATTGAAGTTCGCTTTAAAAAAAGTCGGCTTGGAAATAGCCTACGTTTCAACTGTTACTGTATGGATGACTTTTTCCATAACATTCTCCAGTACTTTAACATTTAAAGAACCATCTTCGTTTTGATTCGTCTGGAAGTTTGGTTCACCAATAACTTCGAGAGTTGTACTCGAAACATGCGATGACTCCGTCGGCTTGGGAGAATCTTCAGAATGTGTGTGATCACCAGGTGACGGTTCATCAAAATCGGAATACGTGTTGGGTGTCAATGGATGAACTCCATTAGATGTGTTTACTCTGTCTGCGACAACTGTGAATTCTAACGACTGGTCATCATTCCCCTCGCTCGAGTATTTTCCCAGAAACATATCCTTATCCTCCATCAACATTGTCTGTCTGTAGTAATCACTTTCGGTATCTGAGGTGATACAAGATTTGTTTACGTTCATAGTTCCATCATGCAGACGGTCATGTAGGTGCAGATGTACGCGTTGTGTAAATTTGGCGCTACACTTTGAGCAATTAAATGGTTTTTCACCACTGTGTAATCGCATATGTGTTTTCAGGTTACTTGTGCTACTAAATCTCTTTTCACAATGGTCACAAATGTAGGGCTTTTCTCCAGTGTGTACGAGATTGTGCTTCTGTAGGTGAGCATATTGTGTGAAACCTTTTTTACACACGTCACATTTAAAGGGCCGCTCACCACTATGAACCCTTAAATGCACCTTCAAATTAGAAAGCTGTCCGAAAACTTTGAAACAAACATTGCATTCGTAGACAATTTTTCCGTGTTCTTTTCTCAGCGGATAAGGAAGCGACTTGTGTCCGTAAAATGGATTTGAGCATTTTGATCTCTTTCTTGAACTTTTATCTTGACTACTTATGCACTCTGTTGGACTTTGTTGTGTTGAAACACTATCATGGTCGGAAGCGTCTTCATTTGGATCATCAGGACTTAATCTACTGTGAAAACTATGTTCATTTTGGAAAACTTCACCGATTCTATACCTATTTGGAATGTCCAATCGGAGATCTGTTTTCTTTGTTGAAACATGCTCTGGGGGTTTGTTCAAATATGTTTTGGGTTGCTGCATATACACAGATGGAAAATCATACGGAGTAATGATGTACGGTACTGGTTGTTGGAGAGTCGGTGGTGAGAATTTGTTTCTCATGTTGTAATGCCGATAAATGTAGTCTGTTGGACTTACGCTTCGCGACTTCAGAATTGGTGATATTGGTTCGCGTTTGATGGTCGGCAGAGAGGACAGTCGTGCTGTTCGTGGTACGGCAAGACCCTTGTGGGTTGTAAACTCACTACGACCAGGGTGTACATGATCAGAAAGCCTAGGCGTCGGTCTCTCCGTTATCATCATTGTATTAAAATTATTGCAAATTGTAGGGTCGTAGTTTGTTCTATTTGTCTGACGCTCTACGGGATTACGGAGATCAAGCGCTTCTCCAGAATCGTTATCCGAATCACATCCTACCTGAAGTGGTTTTCCAACAAAATTGATATTGTTTCCTGTGTAAGAAAGTATTAAATTCGTTAGTACTGTAATATGAAAGATTTATTCGAATTATTTCGAATTCTTTGGACTATCCACTATATGCCGTAAAAAATTGAATTGAGAATGTAAACATTTAAATGATTTTCTCTTCTTCTCTTCTTGCTATGTGCTAAGTTCATACTTGAAGGCTTCTATCCACTAGCTCACTGATTTCAGGAAAGTGCTGTACCAATTGCAGTATTTACAATTATTATTAGGCCATGTATTTAAATTTTTAAATTTTAAAAATTAAACAAACCAAGGCTAATTGAATGTTAATCATATCATACCATTTGAACTTGATTTGGGAGGACTTGGAATTTTCCATTTCAGACGCTCACTAAACTCTTGACAGTACCATACAAACAACTGCTCTCCTTCTGGGATTGAGCGAGTGGTGTAGAAAAATATCTCGGTGCCATGTTGGCAAGCTACTACATTTTGGAGGGGGCTCATGTTGGGAGCAGGCTGAACGTGACGCATCCAGTTACTTTTCACCGGATCAAACCCATCTATGAAATGGACCAATGTATTTCTGTTGTAGATCTGAAATTAACACATTTCCTTGTTATTTGGTAGTGGTAATTTGTTCACAAAAAATATATATATATTTTAGCTTTCAACATTTGTTGTTAACACAAATATAGAAATTGAAAATTGAGGCAAGATTTAGTTTTGAAGAAATGTAGAAATACAAAAATTATTACAATATTAATATTAGTGAAAGCAAAGGAAATTAGTGTAATATTTAAATTCGTAAATTAGATTTTAAATTTTAAATTAATGTCCCATCGTTTTATTGTTAACTGCGATGACATTTTTTGTTAAATAAGATATACCAAGATACTAGGAAAAAAAATATATATTCTCATTATGCACTCCAGTAGTGGAACAGAAAAAGTAAAAAGACAGTAAAAATTCTCTGAAACATGTATTTTTAACTGTCAAATACAGTAATGCAAAACACAATTAGTACAATACCCTATAACCATGCTAAAATTTCACTCTTTGTATTTCACTCTATTATATAAGTCAATTGTAAAAGAAAGAGTGTTTTTTCTGCGGACTCGGCCTGACCTCACGTTATCAAGGCGAGCCGGGGGATGGTGGTGACTGTTCTTGCTGAGTGTGAAAGGCATTGTATAAATGCAATAAGGAAGCATTAAAGTTATGACACCGGAAAATTAACTAAAGTAGTCTAGCACCGTTTCCAAGAAGTAGAGACCGTCCGGAGTTATAAACACAAACACTGCTTGGAAACATAACGCTAATGAATGTTCGTACTTTTAAAGAGGCACTTCCTATCACTTCCATGGAAGATAATGATCATTAATATATTTAATTATGTTACCTTCGTTCAAGGACAATAAATCTTGTTATGAGAAATTATTGAAACTTAATTTGCCAAAATTTGTAGTATTGTGTATAAAAATAATAGGCCATGTTGTAAAACTGGTTTTTTTTTTCCAAGACACAAAAAAGGGTGACGAAAAACTCGGGAATGGTTATGAGATACTTATTTTTGAATAGGCCTATTTAAAAACTTTGGGAAATGGTGGAAAAGGGTGGTTAAGCCACCTTTCTAACGACTATACCTAGACCAACGTACCGTAAATGCTCAAATAAGCGCCTCGGCGTTTATAAAATTTTGGGGGGTTCAGTGCGGCGTTTATTGGAGAGCGGCGCTTATAAAAAATTTCCGTTCCCATATTACATAGCTCACGTATTCCCGTAGTTCAGTAGGCCTATCATAGGTCCTACGTCATCGTAAATAAACGTTTATAGAGAAATGCTTGTGTCTTCATTGTGTTCAATTCAAAATGTTTCATTACACACAGGTTAATATAAACTCTCGATTAAGCGCCGCGGTGTTTATTCGAGAGCATTGGCGGATCTGAGGGGGTCAGGGGTCCTGACCCCCCCCCCCCCTTTGGAAAAAAATTGAAAAAAGAAAAAAAAAAGATTCTCTTTGTACTAACTAACTTTGTAATACTAATACAAATGAGAACAAATATCTGACCGTTTACAAGACGGGAAAACCTTGAATTTTGATTAAAAGACAATTCAGAAGTCGGCAAAACTCATTTTTCGCCATCTAAGAACCAAAATTTTCCCGGGGAGAACCACCGACCCCCGTTTTATTTGGGGTTCATCGATTTATTGAAAAAAGAATATGTATGCAGCGACTCAATTTTAGTTATATACTGTACATACACACATAGTAGGGCTACTAGTATTTACAGTAGACCGAATAAGAATGAGAAGTTTACCTGACTGTTTTCAAGCGGAGAAAAACCTTAAATTTTAAAGAACTTTTTAAAGAAACCTTAAATTTTAAAGTCATTAAAAGACACCTCAGATGTCGGGAAAACTCATTTCCTGCCATCTAGTGATTAAATTTTTCCCGGGGAGGACCCCTGGACCCCCTTCCTCTTTGGGGTTATCCATTCATAGAAAAAAGACTATGTAAGCAACTACATAAGTAGGCCTATTTACTGTAATAAGAATGAGAAAATTAACCTGACCGTTTTCAAGAGGGGGAAAATCTTGAATTCTGAAGAATTTTAAAGTCATTAAAAGAGACACCTCTAAAGTCTGGAAAGCTCATTTCCCGCCATCTAAGAATCAAAATTTTCCCGGGGATGACCCGGACCCCCATTGTTTTTTGGCGTTTTTATGAAAAAAATGTCTGACCCCCTAAAAAACCCCTCCCCCCCTCCTAAATGTGAACCTAGATCCGCCCCTGCGAGAGCGCCGCTTTACTAAAAAAAAATCAGGCTTGGTGCGGCGCTTATTCGAGCTTTACGGTACATGCTACACACTCTCAGCAGAGTCGGTTGCACACGTACGCGTGCGCACGATGCATGCATGCCTCGAAGAGTGAAAGGCGTCTGGGCACATTCAGTCATGACGTTGATGACGTTTCTTCACGAGTTGTATGCACGGCATTCGTAGTCCATTTTAACACAGCATAAATGAGAATCTATTATTGTATTAATACTGTAGCAGATAGGAAAACTTTCTTTTTCTCTATCGCTCAACTGCGAAGCTTCACAATTATCATGTTTAATGAAAATGTAACGAAACGAAACAAGTACTTACCCTCCAAAAGTACGCAATCTCGGCATCATGTGGAACTTCCTCGGGCCGATAAATCTGACCGGTAAGGGGGCCAAATCGTGTTCCTACTGGAATATATTCTCTGCTAAAGACCCCGATTGTCTATTAATATGGATAAAAACATAGCAGGTTTAAATATTTTATCATTGTTAATATGGAATTTTTGTTTTATTCAATTAAATACCACGTTTCATAGTGGTAACAGAATATCACTATTGTGTAACTCCAATAAAGAAAATTATATGTTCCGTTCATTTAAAACATAAAAGAAGAATGACAATGTTCTAATTTAAATGTTGTAATAAAGAACAATGAAACGTACAATCAATTATGACCTCATATTTTTTTTTGTTATGATGTATGACTATCCAAGAAATGATTGTTTAGTAGTTATTTTTCATGGTCGTTATATTCAATTTTGAACACCATCCATAGTGTAAGTTTGGCAAGGCCAATGAATTCATGAGTTACCTTCCTTAAATGTATGGGACAAACATTGTAGGCTATGTCACGTAGGCCTTTAAGTTTTGTTCATGCTCTATTTCTATTACACAAAGCAACTATGTAAACAACCAATCACTTTCAGTTGTTAAAATTATCGTCGGCATATTTCCATTCGTTTTATACTCAGATAATCAACAACCTATAGAATTCTTCTCGCGCGTAAAGAATTCACAAAATACCTTCGCTTACCTCTTCGGAATCGTTTGCTTTCAAAACGAGATTCGGTGGGAGTGAAGCGATAGATAAATCTTCTCCGACGCCAATCTCAGTAGTTCTATCTTTTACCATGTATACGCACATCTTCTGGTAGTCTTCCTCTGCCAGGCAGCTACTGCTTTCTCCTTCAGCGGCACCCATACTTATCTCGCTATGCGGTTCTGTGAATGGGGTGTATAACGTCTGAAAAACAGGGAAAATCAAGATATCAACAGACAGGCAAATAATATGGAATTCGTTAAATATAGAATTAAGAGAGATCACTTCAAGTTATGTTATTGTTTCAAAGCTTAAAACATTTTTGTTATCCGAGTATTAAGAATGAACCTTGTTTTGTTTATTTTATTATTAATTAATTATTGAATTGTATTGTGTAGGGATGGGGATGAATCTATATGTATTTAAGAAAGGGACCAAGCTTGATTAGAAACATCCATTTCTTGGCTCCCATTGTAATACATACCCAGGGGCGGATCCAGAATTTTTCAAACGGGGGTGGGGGGGGGACAACATATTCAGAATAGATATAGCGCTAATTTCAATATATGCCTTGAAATTTTAAAATTTAGTGCCAAAACGGGGGAAACGTTCTCCTCGTGTCCCCTACTGGATCCGCCCCTGTTCATACCATGTTGTAGCATGTACCGGTATGTTTGCAATAAAGAGAAATATTGATAATGATACTGTGCTATTGGAACTTATAATGCTGCATATTATTATTTATGTATGTTCTCAAGCCCTTAAACTTAAAAATGTAATACAATAATACTATTCAATTGAAAAGTGGAGGCAAAAAAGTCGGCAATTACCAGATGTATTAACTACTGTAGGAGAGAAGAACAATTATAGATTTTGATTGGAATGTGAATGGATAGTCACAGGTGACAAGAGGAAGATGGATCACTTCAGTACGCCTCTCGTCAATGGCATGGAGTGGTTCTGTAGGCCTACTGGTAAAATGTAATTAAATAGGAAATGTATAAAAATAGAAAATGAAAATCTATAACTCAATTAAATAAAATTTATAATTATGATAATATAAAAACATTAATGATAAGAGCAACAACGTAGTCCGGGAAATAAGTTGTACCGTGTATATGTACCGCTACAAAAAAAAACAACAAAAAACAAACAAAAAACCCCTACGTACGGAGAACTAACATGAGAAGTTATATAAATAATACAAATATTCATGCGGTTTGTTATTACAAACCAAAATCCTTTTATAAAAATTCTTTCAAATTAACCATTACGCGTCTTAGGAAGTTGCAATGGTTTTATGAGGTGTTATAGTTTAGACTCGACTCTGGTCCAAAAAAAGACCTATTAATATAAACTTAAGTGATTTCGCTTACGGTAACCCCATGGGCAGTGTATGATCATTATGAGTAATGTAAATTAATGGGAGCATTACATTACTTTCCACTATTGGAGGAGGAGAAAAAAAGGGAAGAGCATAACGAGAAGGAATAATAATATTATTATCTCTGAGGAGAGTCACTAAAGTTGGCTGCTGACCAAACAATCATCAACAAACACTATCACAGCCATGCAACGTTTATCCTAAAAAAATAAATACAATAAATGCATTTCCGGTTTGAAAACTACATAGAAAAGCGCGTGAGACATTACTATACAACAAAATGTACCATTGCCTAGCACGGAATAACTCGCGGTTTGGAGCGGTAAATGATGATCGCATTTTAATAATCATAGATTTAAACCCTGAAAAATTTAATTCCTGCAGGATTACATTCGTCACACAACCCTGTTAGAGGCCGATTGACACTCCATTGCATCGCCTGGTAGCTTTTTCCTATTAAGCCCGACCCACATCGCGTCGTCAGCTGACGGCGACGATTTGTCACGTTTGAAAGCCATCGGGGATTCCATGAGACCGCGACGAGACCATCTATACGGCCACAAACGGTCAGCAGGCTGGCGTTGTCGGAAGCATTAATAGAGAGTGCGGCCGATTTCGTCGTGGCAATCGGCTTACTCTCATGGTAGCACCTAATTGGCCGTTACGGTACTGAAAGTATATAATATCGCCGTGTGAAAAAATATATTACCGTCAAGTAATCCAAGGCTCTATCCTCAACTTCAAGATCCCTAACATCTCCAAATACATCATCGGTGGCAGGACAAGTACACCCAGATAGTGTGTTACCTGCACCAATATTGTCGTCAGTTAAACAAGACATAATACTACCGTGGGCCTACCGGAAAATCATTTCAGGCGCTTGTGCGAAGTCAAGAGGCCTATGTAGCCATATGAGGCCAATGTAAACCAATAACCTTGTTGTCGCACAATTTTAAAAGGAAGTACTTGGAACTGATTTACATTAGAATTTTAATAAAAGAATATTTCACCCTTCTGTGATTTCATTCAGAAAATTACATGAGCAAAAGAAGACAGCCAATCACCGTATCGCTCTCTCTCTCTCTCTTTGGTAAGAAAATGAAAGGGGTCTATGGCCGGCACCTTAGAAAATGAAAACTGTCTCGTCTTTTGGTTTTGTACTTTGTCTGACTTTCTATGCTATATAATACAGATTGGCACCCGCTTTGTAGTTAATCTACTAATCTTTGTGCAGTATGTCTAAACAAGTACAACTGATACATTTAGAAGCACTTTTTAGATAACCATTTTTGTATAATAGTGACGCGATACTTGGTCCACTCTTACAGGCCTATTTAACATTTCTATGCATGAGTACGCTAAATAATATGGATTATTAGATCAAGGCCAAGTGAAGAAATTTATAGCGATCCTCCATTCTCAAGACCGTTGTGCATGTGATTGGTAGATTTTTTTCCTATTTAAATCAATAAATCAATCTAAAGACGATCGATCAATCAATCAAATCAGTCAGTCAGTCAAGCAATCAATCAAATCAGTCAGTCAGTCAGTCAATCAATTAGTCAATCAATAAATCAGTTAATCAATTACTCAATTTTTGAACCAATCAATGAATCAATAAAAATAATCAATCAGTCAATCAATCAAAAGAAACAAGAAACCATTCAATCAAACGATCGATTAATAATACCAATCATTCAGAAAGATGTATACCACTTACGATGTAAACCGAACACAGAATTTTACTTTGGTGAAGTTTTCATCCCCGTAGTACTTTTCTGTGTGTCATTCGAATAAATACTATAAGAACTTACACTGCATGTTTTCACCATCAGGTTTGGAAGAAGAGGCATTTTAACCTTATAGATTAAAATAATAAATGTGATGAATTGTCTTAAATACCTTGTTATGGATTGAGCGACCGTACACGGAGAAAGGTCCATCGATAAATTTTGTTAACATACTGAAAATTGTCTCTTCAACCCTACGAGGACGACGAGCGTACAGTATATTCAAATTAGTTCTCATCTAAACTAAAATCCAGCTAATCTCTAAATAAAATATCTACTTGTTTACAGCAGGTTAAACATCAACCTCGCTTTCTAATCTCAACAATAGACACAGGTGTAAAGTCCTTTTACTTGATACGAATTATAACCCCTCCAATTATCATTATGCCCTATAGGCCTTTCAAGTGAAAGGGCTGATATAGGACATGATTTTGTTATCAGTGTGTAACCTAAAAACTAAACCATAGATAGTATGTGTCTATGGTAGTTAGTTCTTTATTTATTCATACTCTCTGATATAAACCCCTTATTCGCACAGATCTATTTATGGAGTTCTTTGTGCCGTTTCTCTTTTATGGGTATTGTATATTCCACACCATCATACCAGGCCCATCAGAGAAAATAACTGCATAAGCTATTGTGTGGTATACAAGCGGTCTTTAATAACTGAATTTGAATTGAATTTTTATATCTTTGTTTAGCTCGTTGTTTTTTACTTTAGTTATCTTTTTAATTATTTTAATTGTGTATGTTTCCTTTGTGAACGCACCATCAGTCTGATGCGTGCCTCTGATCTAAAAGCTTATGTTCAATAAAGTTCAAGTCTAAAGTCATCAGATAGGCTACAACAGCATAATTAATGGAAGCTGTAAATGTATTACAGTATTTTCAATAAGAAATACAATTGATTAATTAAGAGGCATTTGTTGATTCATGTAGGCCTGGTAAACCATAAGTGATATGACTTAAAATAATTACATTTTTAATAGACCTTAAAGAGTACTGGTAAGTTGCTAAGTATAGCTTTCCGCGCATATTAATCTCATTGTAATATTAAACGAGGATATGCTGGCTTATAGATAAATTCAATATTTTGGGAATGTATAAGTAAATTAACAACGGACTGAGACAACGCCTATACGCCCAAAATATACTATGCAGTGGTAGATCTAGGAATACAAAATAGAGCCTTGGGAGGTAATCCTACAGACGGAGGATCTGATCACCTCAGCCCTACTACTATGGTTGGGGCTGAGGTATGAAAATTTGTGATTATGGCACCTCTAGATGACCGGAAATTGCACTGTTAGACTTAAACTTTGAATACAATTTTCTTTATATCTCCATTTTTTTAAATGTTTTGAACAATTTAGAGGGTGGGGGGGGGGGAGGGGCGGGCCGGCTGCCCTTGAATCCGCCACTGCTATGTACAACATAGGCAAGACGATAAACTTAAAATGTGTTGCTGTAGATAGACTAGTTTACGAAGATAGAAATTTCAAAGCCATGGTCTTGTTATGCTTCGCCTCACTTGAGAGAACCTAGTGAAAGTCAAAGTTGAAATGGCATAGATAAGTATACACCTATTGTGTAACAGTTGTATCGTTACTGAATGCCAGTAATGTGTTCTAAAGATGATTAGAGCGAAATACCTTTCATTTCAAAAACACCATAATCGTGCGTAGGTAGATAGACAGCAATGGGTATAATAGGTCTATATAGATTGTTTCCTGGCGATGCATAGGCCTAGCCGCCATATTTTAGTATATAAGAATAGTAAACTTCAATAAAGAATAATACTGTGAATACAAATAATAATAACAATAATATTCATTATACGAATCGATGATTGCCCTACCTGACGTATTAAAGTAACGAATGCTGGGTACGACGGTTCCCAAAAGCCCACGACCTCCAGATAATGCCAATAATACCAGGTAATACTATTTTGTGTAATAAAACGTTACTAACAGGCTGTACTTTTTATAGGCACATTAGTACTATTCCCATTTTATTTATTATAGTAGAGG